TGTGCAGGTAATGAATGCTTGTGCAGGTAATGAATGCATGGCTCAGAACTGGTGTTGGTGGGGAAGTCCGCCTGTGTGGCAGGGAAAGCAGAGACTGATTCTATGTGGGTGCTTCAGTTCCTCCACTCAGAGATGCAGTGACAGATAGCCACTCATATCATACACTTGGGCTGAAAAAAGATTTCAGGGAACTTTAGTCCAGCTCAGTTGCACCGAGAGTCTGTTTTGACCTTCAGTCAGTCTACCAGAGGTCACGGCTGGTAAAGAAACTGTCTTGCAATGGCAACACCTGAACTTGAGGGCCCTTCTCCGTGTGAAAGCTGAGATGATTCCTCTTTGTGCTTGCTAATGGTGGCGTGCTGCACACAGGAGAGGTGGGGCCTGCGGAGGCTCCCTTCACCTTGGCCAGTCCCTCCTTACTTTCACAGAGTGCAGCTTTGCATGCATCCATAGCCAGCCTTTGCATGCGTACATGCAATGTTATTTTTCTCATTTCCCTTTCCTGATAGGACTTTTACTTTTGTGAAATAGCACTTCTTACACATTCCTGGACAAGGCAATGAATCTTTTCTTATTTGTCATTTTCATTTCACCTTTAGGACTATCTTGCCCCTCATTGTCTCTCCTAGTACTCCTAACAAACATTGACTTCCATCATGGTCTCCTTAAAGACAGAGATGGGGACAGTAAGCTAGAGGTGGGTGTGGAGATAGATCAGTTCGTAAAGTGGATAAAACCTTCCTCAATCCCAATTGTCTATAACTTGTTTTGAGAGCTGCATCTCTCTTTATTTGGAAGGTTGACCTCTTAAACTGGATTCTGGCGTAGGAAAATGAAATCAGTGTGGCCACAACCCTACTCATGATGAGGGCTGCTGGAAAACGCCCCTCTTAATTCCTCAGTCAAGTTCATAGTACTAGCCACAGAGGCCCAAATCTAAATGAGAACTTTAAAGGCATGTTTTAAAGGCAAATCTTACACTTGGGCCTTAAAGTTAAGCATCTGGGAGACCCCTGACTTGACTCTTTCCTCTTTCCCAGCCTGCACAACCAATCCGTATCAGTCAAGTTTCTTTTGCCTTTGAAAGACTTAGCAGCTCCCTCTTTTCTCTGTTCAGTTATCAGTGCTCTTTCCAGGACTGCACAGTAGCCAAGTGACCATGTGTCTCTGCTCTCTCCCACCTCCAGCCCATCCTCCATTCTGCAGCTGAGCACCCTGTCATTGTTTTGTTGTTGTTGTGTGCCGTGGAGTCGATTCCGACTCATAGCGACCCAACACAGGGTTTCTGAGGCTGTAAATCTTTATGGGAGCAGACTGCCTCATCTTTCTCCCGCAGAACCGCTGGTTGTTTCGAACTGCTGACCTTGTGGCTTGCAGCCCGATTCATAACCACTACGCTACCAGAGCTCCTTTTGCTTTAGTGGTCCTCATTACTGTGACAGTGGGTCTGTGTCAGCACCAGATACGGGAGAGGCTTTTTCAGACTAAACTGGTAGCTCCCCACCGGGTCCTCTCCTCCCACCTGTTGCCGACGCCCTCGGCATACTTAAGTGGCTTTCATACTCCTTCTGTACTTCTGAGTCACACAGGCCCGGAGGACCAAGGTCACCATGATCTGTCTTAGTGTTTGCAGCCGTCGTATCTGCTTTGGCTTCCTTTAACTGGCCCTTCCTGATCATCTTTATGCTTGAAATCCCTATGCTTCCAGAAGCCTCTTCGGAGCCCTATCCGTACTCTCCCCCTTCTCTGTGCTCTTGTGATGTCCCATGCATGTCTATGCCCCTGCCTGCCTTCCTCTCACAGCACAGTGTATTGCTTCTGTTTCTGTCTGCATTTGGGTGCCTGATGTGCAGTAGGCATTCAGCAAATGCTTAGTGAGTCATGAAGTACTCCCATTTGAAGTGGATTTTGGTATAAAGTTAAATGATTTTCTAGTGGATATTTGTGAAATCTTCACAAGATTTCTTAAAATAAGATAAAAAGTTTAAAAATAAATAGTACAGTGCAGTTTCTACTCATCGATTCTTGTCATTGAAATGTTACCTACTTAAGTAATTGATGAAGTTAATAAACTAAAATCAGTTTTTTTTTTTGCTTCAGAAGGATGCTTAAGTACACAGGAACCAAATGCAGAGCATCAGTCCAATATCAGTAGACTGGGAATGCGTAACCTGAGGCTGTCTCCATTGGCACCAGTGGTTAGAGTAGCTTCCTTTAGGTGGCTATTTGGTGTCGCTTACTAAGATTTTTCTAGAAGCCCAAAATGTCTGACCCTGACATGGTACTCATCTAGGTCCACGCCTCAGGTTTGTGGAAGAGGATCACCAGACAAATAGATGGTCTTTTATTTTTCTTTTGAAACACAATAGCTGATTAGTGACAGAACCCATTTGGAAACCAGACCAGCTGTGATTGGCCTTGGAGTTTAGTGTATAAACTAAATTCACAATATTAAATGGATTTTCCTGCTAAAGGGCCTTATGAAAGAAGAATTATAGTCCCGCTCATTGGAGTATGAAAGTTATGCCTTGGAACATATCCTTGAAGTCAGCCATTTTGGATTCTCTTGAACCCAGAAAAGTCCAGTAATAGATGAGGATGTTCATTAAACTTGGTTGAGATCAACCTACATGGTTCCCGATTAAGGAAGATCGCTTCTTTAGTAATATAATATCATCCAAGGATTATTAAAAGGTTCTCTTATTGTTATTCTCTAATTTGGTAGAAAAGTTACCAAAAAAGAAAAAAAAGTAAAAGACCACATCAATTGTTAAGCAAAAAGACTATGCTAATTTTTGAATTCTGTTCTCGAAGATAGTGTTTTGTTATAACTGCACACGTGCACAGCTCTAAGCACAGTTAAGAATCTTTTGCTAAGTGGTCTAATTATTTTTCATTGAATCATTTTCAGGATGAAAATATGATCAACTTTATCAAAGGTGGACTCAAAATTAGAACAAGTTACCAAATATATAAGTAAGTTAAAATGAAGGTGTGGTTTTTAACTAAGTATGGGTAGTTTTTTGTATTTTTTTACTTGAATTGATAAAAAACACAGTTAATTTTTGGTTTACTGAGTATGTATTCAGTGCCATGGTGGTGGTTATGTGCCGTGGAGTCAGTTCTGACTCATAGCAACCCTGTACAGTGTTTCCGAGGCTGTAAATCTTTACAAGAGCAGAAAGCCTCATCTTTCTCCTAAGGAACAGCAGGGAGTTTTAAACTGCTTACCTTGAGGTTAGCAATCCAACTTATAAACACTACAGTACCAGAGTTCCTTATGTTATATGCCAATGGAGTCAGTTCCGACTCATGGCGACCCTGTACAGGGTTTCCGAGGCTGTAAATCTTTACGGGAGCAGAAAGCCTCCTCTTTCTCCTGTGGAACAGCTGGTAGTTTCGAACTGCTGACCTTGAGGTTTGCAGCCCAATTCATAACCACTACACTACTGGAGCGCCCTCGGTGCACTGTGGTTGTTGTTAAATGCCATCAAGTTTGTTCCAATCCATAGTGATCCTGTAGGGTTTCTAAGGAGCAAGCAGCTGGTGAACTCAAACCACCGACCTTGTGGTTCAAACTGACTTTGCATTCCAGTGTATTAACCCACAGTGCCACTCCAGGACTCCATTCAATGCCATAGGACAATAGAATTTAAGTTTAGATGGCATTTCAAAAGTAAAATAGCTGAAAAGAAAGCTACTGGCTTAATATAAATTTTGTTGTTGTTGTTGTTAAATGCTGTTGAGTCAGTTCCGACCCATAGTGACCCTGTATAGGGTTTCCCAAGAGCGGCTGGTGAGTTTGAACCACCGACCTTGTAACGCCACACCAGGACTCCTTTTCTTTATTTCCCCGTGTATCTACCACTTCATTCATTTCCATTAATTTCCAGGCTGAAGAGCTTCCTTTAGTTTAGTTTTTTTTTTTTTGGTAGTGTGTATCTGTTGCCAGAAAAGACTTTCATTTTCATGAATGCCTATATTTTTATCTTTGTTTTTGGAGGATACCTTTGTTCAGCACAGTGTTCTGGGTTGATTTTTTTTTTTTGGTGCCCCTATTTAGGTCATCCAAAACTGTCATTCTCTTGTATTACAATCTCCATTGTTTTTGGTCACAAGCAACCTGTCATTTGTGTTACTGCCACACGCAAACACGCACACCCCACACTGCAATATGGAATGTGACAGTTTTTCTGGTGGCTTTAAGGGCTATTTTGTATTTTTGCATTTCAGCAATTTGATTATAATGTGCTTAAATAGGGCTTTTGTGAAACTTGTGGCCAGTGTTTATATTTATCCAAGTTTTTTTTTTCTGTCCACATTCTCACTCTTTCCTCTTCTTCCAGAATTCCACTTACTATGTTAGTCTGCCTGGTTTTGTACTATAGGTTGAGACACTGGTCAATAAAAGTTTTTTTTTTTTTTTTTTTTCCTGAATTGGATCATTTCTGTTGATCTCCTATCATGGTCACAGGTCCTTAGTTTTTCCCATTCTGATATGTTGCAGTGAATTTTAAAAATTCAAATACATCCACTCCTCACTTTATTTCTATAATTAGAAAGACCATGTCATTATGTGAAAATTGGTGTTATTTGAAAAAGGGAGGATTCAGTTCATAAATGGAGGGAGGATAACTGCATTATGACATAATGCCAAGCCACTGAGAATCCTGCCCTGGCGAAACTAACATGATCTTAACCATCACAGCCAGTGTGTCTCTTGTCACGAGCCTCAGCTAGTTTTGGTTAGTGCCAGACGTATGTTGTTATTTAATGTACAGAATAGACAGTTATTATCATCATGAGTGTCACATGTTGGTTAATGAGATGGTTGATAAGTGAGGAGTAGGTGTACTGTACTTTTCCCTTCCAGAATTTTCATTGTTTCTTTATTTATATAGTTTCCATTTCCCTGTTGAAGTTCCCACTCTGTTTGTTCATTATTACCACATTTTCCTTAAAGCCCTTATTTATAATGTTCTGGTTGTTAAGAGCTGTCGAGTCAGTTCCAACTCAAAGCAACCCTGTGTAGGGTTTCCAAGGACTGGTTGGTGAGTTTGAAGTGTTGGGCTTGCATTTCAAATGACTGTGCAGTCCAGCACATTAGCTCACAGTGCCATACCAGGACTCCTTATAATTACTACATTTAAAGTTTTATCCCAAGAAATAGATCATCTTGGGGTAGTTTTCTATTGACTGCATGTCATAGTCTTGTGTTTTTCTCTAAAGTTCATTTTTGCACATTGGATAATGATACTTTGTAGAGACTCTGGATTCTGTTATCTTTCTCTAAAGAGTGCTGATTTTTGTATTAGGAAGCATTTAACTTGACTAAACTTTGGCTCCAAACATTCTCTGTCACATGGTAGGCAGTGCCCTGAAATATGCCATCTACTTTCTGGATTTTTGGAACCTTCCTAGTGTTGCATAGTTAATAGATCAGCCACGAATTTGTGTGGCCCTCTTAAGATTTTGATGTTCCTGCCACTTGTGGTTCATTACTAGACTTCCAGTTCATATGGTGGTTAGTGGTTATGTGCCGTGGAGTCGGTTCCGACTCATAGTGACCCTGCACAGGGTTTCCGAGGCTATAAATCTTTACAGGAGCAGAACGCCTCATCGATCTTTTGCGGAATAGCTGGTAGTTTCAAACTGCTGACCTTGAGGTTAGCAGCCCAATTCAAAACCAGTATGCCACCAGAGCTCCATATATATCTATATATATCTAGCTATCTATCTATATAGATAGCTATATATAGATATATATGTATATATAGATTTGTGTGTGTGTATAGATTTGTGTGTGTGTAATTTTTCCACAAACATTTTGAAGTCCTCTCGTATAAGCATTATCTTCAGTAGGTTTGGATGCCCTGACAAATGATTTTTCTTCACGCTGATTTTCAGAGTCATAGTAAACTTATACTTTAATTTCTTTTTCTTCGATCCAGGGAATGTCTTTCTATCCTGCAGGTCATTGAGAAGCGCAAACTTGAGCAGCAGTTCTTCTCTGAGTTTGAAGGGGGTGTCAAACTTGGAATAGGAGCATTTAATTTGGTAAGGAGGTTGTTACAGAGCAGCCAGAACCTCTTGTATAAGAAACTACAGTTTCAGTGTATCTCTCTAAACCCTGTGCTCCTTATCCTGAACCTCTAACCAGGCTTCATTGACACATGGCATTAGTGGGTATTGTTTTTCTGTACATCTTTAGAAGCATATAGTATTCTTTAGTAGATTAGTAAGGTTTTTGGTAACCGGGATCTTTGAATCCAGTTCCATTTCCGTATCAGAAATCCTGCTGCTTTGACAGTGGCAGTTCTGGAGAAATAGGGAAGGAAAAGTAAGCCTGAGGGATGATTTTGACAGTCCCTAGATGGCACACATGATTTGGTCACTAACCAACAGGTTGGTGGTTCAAATTCACCCAGCAGTGCAGCTGGAGAAAGACCAGGCAGTCATGGAAAACCCCGAGGAGTCCAGTTCTATTCTGACACACATGGGGTCACCATTGCCAAATCGTGACATGTGATTTAGAGAATTTGAACTCTTGCTAAGGTTTGACCTGAATTAGTGAAAACATTGTAAAGTGATAGAACCATACAGACACTTTGAGCGCTAAACAGACTTTTGCGTCCTGGGAAGGAAGATGAGAGAATCCTGTCAGGATGCGAACACTGAGGACTTAGCCTCCTGTCTCCTTACCACTTCACACAAAAGGATCCAGTATTCTCTAGAGTCCTGGATAGACCAGGCTTTTGTCGCTAAATTCCTTTATGTTCATTATCTTAGTTGTTGTTGTTGTTTTTATGTGCTGTGGAGTCGGTTCTGACTCATAGCGACCCTTTACAGGGTTTCCAAGGCTGTAAATCTTTATGGGAGCAGAAAGCCTCATCTTTCTCCTGCGGAACAGCTGGTAGTTTCTAAGTGAAATTAAATCGTAAGCAGTGACTATACTATGTGGCGATTAAGATACATGTTTAGTGGTTTTAGCTTGGTTCTAATTGTTCAAATTACTGACGCTTTAACACTAAGTTGTTTGGAGTCTGACGGTTACCTAGTTAAGTGCCTTGACACATAAGTACATCTGTATTTTCGTCTACTTCTAGATGCTGTCCCTTTTACCAGCAAGGATTATCCGACTACTGGAGTTTATTGGATTTTCTGGAAACAGGGTACAAATTTAATTTTACATCAATTTTGACATGGAAAATAAATGATTGTTGAATGAATGCAGAGGCAGTGCCACATGCCCTCATAACTAGAGTGATGCTTTTCTGAACTTACCCGTGGCTTTTCTATTGAAATTTAAAAAAAAGAAAAAAAGTTTTCTTTTGTTACCTAACTTGTGGGATTAAAAATGATGCTCTCCTCCTATTGTATCTTGCTCGCTCTGTGGTCCTCTCTGGTGGTTTTAGATGTGCTTCCTCAGCATTTCAGTAAAATGTAGGACTAAATCCAGTGAATTGCTAGACTTCAGTTCTAACATTTTATGATTGTTATGGGTCAAATTTTATGAATCTAGCATAGTTGCAGTCATTTAGGATTTCTTTGTCGTTTTACAAGTTTTGCTATGATACGAAAAGAGAAAACTTGCTTTCCATGAGGTTTACCAATTTTATTGCTGTGTTATTATTTTTATAGCATACGAAGGGGCTTCAGAAAGTTCATAGAGAAAGGTCATCTTTTGATTCCATTTTTCCATGAACTTTTTGAACCCCCTGGTATAAGATTTATTAATCATAACACAGAATATGGTACTATTACCACAGTTGCTGTGTTACACAAGCTGGTCTCTGTTCATCAAGAGACGTGGGGACATAGGCTTTAGCATTTTTAAGTTTCTGAGAGCTATTTGTATTTGTAGTCTTGCTTTTATGTTCCTAAAATGCATCTAATTGCCACAGGAGTTGGGACTCATGCAGTTACGGGAAGGTGCATCTGGAAGAAGCATAAGGGCTCCACTGTGCTGCTTAACGATCCTGGCTTTTCATACCTATATCAGTCTGATACTTGGTAAGAATTGGACTGCGTTTCCCTTCATTGAAAGACGATTCTCTTGCATCTGCTCATTAAGTAAAAATTGAGAGAAATCTGTCAGAGTGAGTAGTCGATGTTTTCCTTATGTTTTTTTGTTTTGAACTAAGATGGAAGAAAGATTAAAGATTGCATTTCATGTTAATTAGATATCCTCCTAGTATTTGGCAGAGAGGGTAGAGTGGTTTCTTTTATTGAATTTTAAAAAATCTGTTCTCTGCTAGAAATAAAACAAAACAAGGGAAAGAAATCTGTAAACCTTTAGTATTATCTACTTTATCATATTCATACTAGATTTCGTTTTCAACAGGAAATTAAATTTTTGATAAAGGTAAGCTAATGGTGCTATTAAAACTGGAAATTCCAGCAAGGAATCTAATAGAACCCCCTCCAGAATTCATCAGCCTGCCCACAAGTGCTCTGAGGCTAAAGTCATAAATGAGACTTGCAGTGTTTTCCTTCCCACATGTAAACATGGCTCAGTGCAAGTTTTCAGCTTCACCACGATGAGCTCTTTGCTATGCATTAGTGAAATTTGGAGAGCTGCTTGTCCATGCCGACCATGTTTCATGAAGACTGAGATTTTTTTTTCCTGTTGAATTTCTAGGTACAGGAGAAGTGAATATTATGGAAGCAGAGAACCTCCTTGCACCCTTCCTCCAGCAGTTTCCAAATGTAAGCCTCACATATCATTGTCTTTTTCCACTGTAATTAACCAACAACACCGATTGCTGACCCCTGCCTTGTTTTGTCTTCCTTCCCTCTCAGGGCTCGCTCATGCTGTTCTATCATGCCCGAATAGAGCTGCTAAAGGGCAATGTACAAGAGGTAATTTCATGTTGAGTCATTTCTTGGGAAGCTGTCTAGATTGTGGAGTTGCAGCATGTACTCTTCAACATTCAAGTAAATTCAGTATATGGACTAGGCAAAAAACAAAGAAAAAACCAGTCATTGGAAAGGCAGAATTTAATTTTTTGTATGCATCCTGTAATACAAAGTAAATTGTTAAATGTTATGTCGACAGATACAATACATGAGACAGTTCAAGGTGGTTTATACAAGAAAACGTAAGACGTTTTCAAAGACATTTGACACATCCACGCTGACACTGGAGTCCAGCCCTTGCACAAGAAGTACCTTCACGGCACTACACTGGCATCCTCATCAGAGGGTGCTATTGAGTGGGTCCTTTTCAGAAGGGAACAGTGGGGTCAGAGGTGGAAGAGCAAGGAGCAGTTCATATACATTGTTGTTGTCAAGTGCCGTCGAGTTGGTTCCAACCCATAGCGACCCCATATAGGGTTTCTGAGGGACGACTGGTGAGCTTGAACTGCTGACCTTGCAGTTCAAACTGGCTTTGCAGTTCAGGGCATTAACCCACAGCATAACATCAGACTCCAGTTCATATCTATACACATACAATTTCTTCCATACAAATGGGATGAAATTTAGAATTACTTTGTGTTTTTTCCCTGCTCACACTTGGCTATCTTTCCAGGTTAGTATACCTTTATTACCTTCATTCTTCTTTCATGGCTGGGTTTCATTCATGGGATGGGTGCACCATTCTTATTAAAGCAATCTACTGTTTATAGATGTTAGCCTACTACAAACAGTGCTGCTGTTATAAACATTATTACTGTGCATATATTTTTGTGCACATGCCTCATTTATGTAAGACATTCTGATAATTTTGATAAATCCAACAAAATTATCCTTCTAATTTAAAATCGTTTCAAATTTGTATACCTGTAGGGGATAAGAATATTTGTTCCCAATTTGGTTTGCCACATCTTCATATTACCTATCTTTTTTTTTTCCCAATCAGTGCTGAAAAGTGATAGTTTAATTAAATCTTTATTTTCCATTTACAAATTTCATCATATTTATATTTCTTTTCTTTTTGTTTTCAGATTTGTCTGTTCATCTTTGCCAGTTTTTCCACTCAATTGTTTATCTTTTTCTTAAGGATTTTCTAAAATTGTTGTCCGATAAAGGGTTAGTCCTTTGTCAGTAATTATACATCTGATATATCTCCTTGTCTGTTCCCTGTCTTCAATTTTATTTAGAAAATGTTTTACTCTATGAAGCTTTGGCTTCTTATGAGTCTAAATAAGTATGTGTTTTCCTGAAGGTTCTGTGCTTTATGTTTACTTGGTAAGGGACACTCCCATGTTAAAAAATGCTAAGGCCCCATTACAGAGTTAAATAAAAAGCAGGCCTAACTGTATTATTGTATGGCATGAAAGGAACATGTCGTACTGAATGGTTTAATGAATATTAATAGTGTTCTTTTCGTACAAAGCGTTTTATGTATTTTTCCATTAGGTTATTATCTCCTTGTCTAGTATCTGGATGATCAGCTTTATGCAATTGACTTATAGGCACAAGAAATATTCCAAAAATGCATTTCAGTTCAAGAAGAGTGGAAACAGTTTCACCATCTTTGTTACTGGGAGCTGATGTGGATTTACGTATTCCAACAAAACTGGATACAGGCGTATCACTACTCAGATCTTCTCTGCAAAGAGAGTAAATGGTCTAAGGTAAATGGCAGTGCTGTCATTATTGCCACCTGCTGGCCAGAATGGTTTTCATTGAGGACTGCTGGTTCATAGTAAGCCGTCAACACTATAGTCTCAGCCTAGAGCTCCATCAAAGGAGGAAATAAACATCCAGTACCTACTGCTTATGGGCACTTTCCTCAGCACTGCATCTTGACAAAAATACCCAAAAAGTCCTTTCCAACAAAGAGACTTTACTTCTAACAATGAGCTGCCCTTCTATTTAAAGTTATGAAATATCAGTACTGTTGATCATTTTTCATAAACTTTCTGATGTCTTGATCAGACATTCTATGATAAACAGAATGGATTCTAATCTATTTGGGTGAAATTGGGAGGAATGGACTAATGACCTCTGGTTTATTCTGTTCACTTTCTCAGTTGTGAACACTGCAGGTGTATAATAGAAAAATAGTTTCATTTGGAATAGGCAGTATAAAACTTTTCATTACCCTTGATTTCTCTGAAACCTCATAATATCTGGAAGGTGTGTCAGCCTCTGCTGATTTACCAGGCAGAAATGTCTTGTACTTAAGAATATAACTAGAGCCTTCCTTCTTTTCCTCAAGGCAACATATGTATTCCTGAAAGCTTCAATTTTGAGTATGCTTCCAGAGGAGGACGTAGTACCAACTAAAGAGAATGTGGTAGCTTTATTCAGGTAAGCAAGGCACTATAATAAAGACCCTGAATGTACAGAGGAGCACACAGATTCATCTCCATTCAACTCACATACAACTCCTCAGTGTTTTCCCATGTCTCTTGTTCAGAATTCTTTAATTCCTTTAAGCACTGATACAAGAAACCTCAAAACAGTCCATTTAACCAAGAATCGAAGTGTTCTCCTTTTACGGAGGATTTTACAGATATCAGAGAATCTTAAGAACATGTTCTCTTATTTATGTCTCAGGAGTAGGGTTTTGTGACTGGGTTTTTGCTACTGAGTTTGGAACACAGTTTCCTAAACCATTAATGTTATCAAAAGATGTTAACTACTGCTGTGAACAAAAGATACTCCGTCATCAGATAAATTTAAGAAACACTGTCTAACAAACATATTCTTAGTTCTCATTTAGAATGTCAGATTCTAGAGGCTCCGCTGTCAGGCATCTGCTTGACTGTCTTATTCCACTAGCTATCCACCTACCGATTCCTAACCAAATCCATGCATAACCTTTTTGTGGAGCACCTACTATGCTGTTGTTGTTGAATGTTGTTGAGTCAGTTCCGCCTCTTAGAGAGCCTGCAGGACAGAGTAGAGACCGCTTCATAGCATTTTCTTGACTGATCTTTACAGAAGCAGTTCACCAGGCCACTGGCTAGGTTCATACTGCCAGCCTTTCTGCCCCTAGTCCAATGCTTAGCTGTTGTGCCCCTAGGACTTTTCTGTATATTCCCTAGAATGAATGTTCTCTTCATGCACTCTCTGTCATCTTCAAGCCATGAATTTTCATGCCCAAGGCTGTTTATTCATGCACTCCACACCTTCCGTCCCCACTTGCTCCCACATCCTCCGCACTTATATGCCCACTGCCTGTTCCACTCTTGTTAATGATCACTACATGACGGGACAACCTGGTTTAAAATCCATATCCCCAAGTTGTGTACAAAACTGTAATACAAGCATGCCATAAGATCAGAACATTTTTTTCTCAGTTTCATCTTGGTCTTTCTTGAATCAATATAATCTTAATTCTTTCTCAATAAATTGTTTGATTCATTTGCAAAGTTGAAACATAATAAAGTATTTCCAGAGACACATAGTCCCTCCATTCTACTCTCATTTATATTTGTTTGTGAATTTCCTTATTGGAATTCCTGAGAGTTTTGAGAGAAAATGTGTAAACTTGGTACTTGTCCTTAGCTGATGGTTTCCAAAGTACTTGGGAAACATTTGAGCCGCATGATTTTATTGATTTGTGTCATACTTGTAGAGAGGAATAAATAGGAAACGTATCTTCCGCTTCTCAACAGTCTACAGGGTAGATAATAAAAACAAAAGATCTTTGGAATCTTTTCTGCCTGCATACAGAAGCTGCCAATTTAATACGTTGATTACATGGACTGTGTTCGGTCACTTAAGATGCTGACTAGAAAGAAATAGTTGCAAAACCAGTGGTTCTCAGACTTGAATGGGAATCAGAATCACCTGGAGGGCTGGTTAAAATCCTGATTGTCTGGTACCCCCCCAGAGTTTCCGGTTGAATAGATGGGGGAAGAGGGGGTGGGTTCTGAAAATTTGGTGGATGAAAAGTTCAGTGGATGATGAACTTGCTGGTCTGGGGTGTGTTGTGTGAAAACCACTAGTGTAAATGTGTGTGTTCTAACGAACTCCTCCTTCACTTGGGGTGGCGGCTGGAAATCTTCACAGGAAGGTGGAATGCTTGAAGCAGAGAATTGCTGGTAAATCTATCCCCACTGAGAAGTTTGCTGTGAGGAAGGCCCGCCGGTACTCGGCCGTTCTGCCTGCGCCTGTGAGGCTCGTCTTACCTGCCCTGGTATCTACTTTTATTTGGTTTCCTGTCTGAGAACTAGACCCAGATTGTCGAAGCAGAGAGCACATCTCACTTTTGTTGTGATGCTTGGCTCAATTAAAAACCATCTTAAGTGTTTTTGTCAGGTGAACAGTTATGGGCAGTTATTCTTTTATTAATAGTTAAATAGTAATGACTAATTTTTTTTTAGGTTGGTATGTTCCAGACATTATTATAAAGGCTATTTAAGACATAGATAAGAGGGGACTTCAAAAAGTTTTTAGGAAATGGAATGAAAAGATGACAGGATTTTTCCACAGACTCATTGAAGCCCCTTCTTATTATCTCATTCTTACGTAGCTCAGCGAGAGTAGTTTCTCTTTTCAGCCTGTCATAAGATTGACTTTATCTAGGCCACATTTTAAACTTAAAAACAATAGAACTGATTCCAGAGAGGCATTTTCCCATAGAATTAGAATGCAGGCTACATATGTGGTTTTACACTTTCTGGTAGCCTCATATAAAAAGGAAACAGGAAATTAACATTAAGAAGATATGTGCAAAATTTTGTCATTTCAACATGAACTCAATAAAGTATGAATGAGCGATTTCACATTGTTATGTTGTATTAAGTCTTTGGCACCTCGATTTGGATTAGCCGCATTTCAAGGGGTGAAGAGCCACATGTGACTGGGGGCTGCCATATTGGATAGTACATTCCTAGAGCTTTCATTCTTAATCATTATGTTATTTTGGTTATACCTCTGTGAAAGGTATAACTTAAATTTTTTTTAATAACGATTTCTTGTGAAGGACTGAATACACGAGACATTCTGACTCTCTGGGACTTTATTTTACTAAGGTACTCACACAGCTCAGGAAAACTTTTTTGTGAAGCAGATGTCATTGGTTTCCTGACTCATTATTATTCAGTGATTCCCACTGGGAACTATTTTCTGTCTCTCAGAAATTTCTTGAAAGTTTTCTAGAACATTGTAATTCCTTTTCAACTCTAGCACCTAGATTATAGTGTAGTCCACTGTGCATTGCTTTGTTATAAAGATCTTAGAGCAGGTTAACTCACTGTACTGGTTTCTTCGGGTTTGTGGATATGGAAAGTGTAGAGAATGGACCTGCCTGTGTAATCGCTGTGAGTCCAAGTCGACTTGACTTGATGGCAACTGACAAGGTGTTTTACCGGAAGGTTATTTTTCATAAAATCTTTGCTTATGTCCTTCCAACAAAATGTTCCATCAGGTATTGAGTTGATCTGTTAAACTGTACCAATGATCAGACATTGCACACAGAAAATTAAAGGTAGGGCGCTGTGACCTTAGTTTTCAGGGCTGAAAAATAGAGCTAACTTTATAGCTACTCTAACTACTGATGTGTGTCTCCCTCAGTTCCCGTGCATGCCCCCTCTCCAGCCTCATAAGAGGCTTTTTAGGCAAAATCTTTATCACTTTTTAAATTCATTTACTTCCAAGGAGATACTAATCACTCTGCTTTTTACGTATCTTTTAAGACCTGGACTGCTGTCCCAGGAAAATTAGGAAAATATTTCCAAGCACAAGTGCAAGAGAATTTCTCATCTGCTAGGCACATTAAATGTAATTTGTAATGAGAAATCATCAGTTTAGATTTTCAGGGGCTGTCTTTCAGCCATATGGCCTTTAGATGAATATGTTGTCTGCATATTGGATCGCATTACTGGTCTGTCACATGTTTTTAATAGTATAAAAAGGACCTGAGCCCAGTAAAATAGCTCTAATGTTCATTTCCAGTGATGTTCTTGGAAGCATTTTATGTAAACAACTGGCAGACATTTAAAAATGTTTCCTTTTACTTAAAAATGACAACAGAAATGTGCATTAAATGGAAATGTGCATTAATTGCTCATAATACCAGTTAAAATAATTATGTATACTACTTTCTCTGTGTAGTGTCATCTTCCCAAGAGGACTGAATGAGATTAAGTTCTTAATCAGTATTTGTTAAGTGTATGAATACATTAATAAAAAATATGCACACTGAATTACTTTACAGTATAAAAGGCATTTCATAAAATGGGAGAGTGGATAATAATCTTACAAAACTCTGTATGAGAAAAGCTAAGGAAAATGATCCCTAAATGCTTTCTTGAGGTTCCAGTAACCAAGGCAAAGCACAGGGTGTGGGATAACCTCACATAACTGCAAATAGCTTTCATTCTTTCTCATTAGGAAATGATGTATATTTGGAATGGTTTTCCAATCGTGAGCAAAAGAAAAGACCTTTCTGAAAGTTTGCTGGTAACTGTTGAAAAGGCGGAGGCAGCTTTGCAAAAAGAAAGTAAGTATGGAAACAGCCTAGAAATGCTGGCTTCTGCTCCCCTGATGGTCAGTCTCCTATGTCTTCCCTGTGCATCAGGAGAACTTAGGGTGGGTATTCCAGCATGAAGGGAGAAAGGCTACCAGCTGCAACAGGATGGGCCCTGAAAATCTGCTGCTTCAGGAAAGAGAGCAGCCACAGAAGACCACCACATGCTGTGCACTCCCTTTTGTGTGAAAGGTTCAGAATAAGCAAATCCATAGAGACAGGAAGTAGATTCCTGGTTGTTTTAGGGCTTTGGGGGAGAAGAGAACACTGAGGGGTGATGAAAGGGCTGTAAAATTGGTTGTGATGATGGTTATACTGAAAACGATTGATCTGTACACTTACAGTGGGTGAATTGTGTGTTAAATGAGTTATATCACAGTAAAGCTGTTCTGTGGGTTAATGGGCTGGACTGGAAAGTCGGTTTGAATTGCAAGGTCAGCAGTTCAAGCTCACCAGCTGCTCTTTGGAAACCCTATACAGGGTCACTATGGGTCAGAATCGACTCTATGGCACTTAACAACAACAAAGGTGTTCTAAAAAAAGAAGAGGAAGGGTAGGAAGCTTTAGAACAGCATAAGGAAAACGCACACTTGGTTTAGGGTTAGTTTGTTGTGACTGTTTCCATGTCTCCTCATGCTTGCTTTTTTAGGCTGTTGGTTTTTGGCAGACACACGGAAATCCATGTAATCGTCTTTGAATGTAAAATGGAAGCTGTGTTGAGATGGTCATGTGTAAACAACCATGAGGTGTAGAATCAACACAAAGCATATTTCAAGGGTAAATAGTCCTCAGATCGATAGTCCTCTGTAGTCTAGGGAAATGATAATGGTTTTGCTTTCTGGAGAGTTTTGGAGGCATGTGGTATTGTGGAACCCATATGCATATTCCTTTCTGTGGTTTAAACAAAAATGAAATGTGGCCTAACTGGTGGTGTAACTTTTTAACAGTGTTGTGCTTGTTCCTTAGCAAAATCATCATTCAGTGAACACCAGAACATTGTGATTGAACAAACAATCAATAAAATGCTACACTGAGCTTAAGTGTGCACAAAAGTGGTAATGAAAGGTACTATCCATCCAATATGGGCTCTTCAGGAAGGCTTAGCTCTAGCTCCTGACGACACGGCTTCTTGAGTCTATCGTTCAGTGAACACCCATGGAACACAGGTAGATGAGAATATGTGTGTGCACGTGTGTAACAATAATAACAGTTCATAACAAGTAATAGGAAACAGCTTGTGCTAACAGGAAGCGTATTTGTGGGTTTTTGGATAAATGACCTATCAGGGCTGGGAAGTTAAAAGCGAATAAAGCGAATATTATCTGTTTTCAGCACTAGGAGTAAAGTTACCCTGTTTTAGTTGGTAAGTAACACCATTAACCCTCCCATAGACAGTTTCATTGTTGTTGTTCAGTGCTGTCGAGTTGGTTCCAACTCATAGCGACCCTGTAAAGGGTTTCCAAGGAGTGGCTGGTGAGCTTGGACCACCGACCTTGCGATTCAAACAAAATCAGCATGCATTAGTTAAGGATGATACCTGAGGTTTGTGTTAAAAACAGGAGGATTTCAGTATGAGGGGTCCCATGTCCATATTGTAGTGCTGGTGTGGCGCTGTGGGTTAATACACTGGACTGTGAAATCGGTTTAAACCCCAAAGTTGGTGGTTCAAGCTCACCAGCTGCTCCTCGGAAACCCTATACAGGGTCGCTATAGGTCAGAACCAACTCAATGGCACTTAACAACAATGTCCACATTTGTTCATTTTACTGTTTCTCCCATTTGTGTTGTCACAGCCTGAAACGTATGAATTATGAGTCTGGAATGACTGTAACTTGCTCAAACAAAACAGAACTCAGAAGTGGTAGATAGATGTCCTACATCGTGTTGTTTCTTCTGTTTAATACAAGTTTGCCTTAGGCCGTGGAAGCTATACAGTCATCCTCCAAAGGACAAGAAGTGCTGACGGACCCTCCTTTACATTTACCTGAGGCAGTTAGAGGCTTGCTGGCATTTTGGTAGCCTTTCATGTACTTCAGAGCCATTTTGTCTGGTTTTAGTATATAACTTCCCCCCGCCCCCACAGGAACATACCCTTGAGAGAGTTGGTAATAAGTTGTAGACATAATGGTATGGTCTGGAGAGGGCATTTTACTTCCTGAATGTTTACTGGGCAGACGGCCATCTGCTTGTCCAGCTGGGACTCCATATGGGAGTGTCCTCCTCTCCTGCTTGGAGGCCAGCACAGCTGTAAACCACAGCTACAGGAGGAGGCAGCCTTCTATAGGACGGAAAAGCCCTTAGTTTATTCAGACTTCACATTTCCTGTTGTCATATCTAAGAACCCACAGCACAGAGTAGGAACACTCAATTTCTAGGTGTACAGGATGGTGTGTAATAACATAAATTCCACTTTAAACATTTTTTCTTGGCGAAAAAAATTTTTTTTCCCACTGTGTTTTCTTTAGCACGACATTAACAAATGCTACAAACATTCTCGTTTTCAAATGGTCCTGGTGACACCCAATGAGCTGTTAATTCTTCATCTGGATTCTAAAACCTTTTTCTTTTTACATGTTTCTTTGCTTTTTTAAAGACCTGAATGAGTACTCTACGGATGATGAGTGCTTGGTGAAGTTACTGAAAGGATGCTGCCTGAAGAACTTGCAGCGGCCCCTGCAAGCTGAACTGTGCTTCAATCACATTATTCAAAGGTAAAAACCAACAGTCCGGCCCACTGTGTCAGACTGTGTTTCCCGAAGCATTGCCGTGAGAAACACGACATAGAGGGCTTTTATCGCTTGCTGCCCTTCTCCTTGGTGTAGCACTAACAACACATCCCCCCAAGCCCCTATGAGACCTCACACATCTGAGTGTTTGTTGGCCCCCATGTCCCACAAACCCTGAGCACCCACTGTGCATCCTGCCTTGTGCTAGGCACTGAGGCTCCAGGGTTGAAAGGACAGACCTTGTCATCGTAGTGATTGTAATCCAGCGGGGAGGGGAGGGCTCTGATGCATACCTAAGTGCTTCTCATTGGGCAGCAAGTGTTTAACATCTCCCAATGGCATGGATGATCTACTGCTATATAAAATGTGGAGTGGGTCACGGTTCTGATGCCTCCTGGCCCTCTTTTCTGTCTAGAGTCTAGAGACAGGTTTCTTGGTTTGTTAAACCTGAAAGTGCTTTCCATCTGCTCTTTCAGTGAAAAGCTACTGAAGTATGACCACTACCTAGTGCCATTCACTCTGTTCGAGTTGGCATTTCTGTACAAAAACCAAGGAGACATTGACAAGGCCATCAAGGTCCTAGAAACTGCAAGGTAAGCGGTGGGGACAGCTGCCCTGTGGGTGCTGGGGAGGCCGTGAGTGTCTGCTGGCTCCTAGGGCATGCTGTTGTCCTTGTACTGTACTCTCCAGAAGTAACAAATGAAAGCAAAGTTCATAGTAATGTCACTTCTGCTAACTTCTGCTTGCTTGGTATTCATGACGTTTGTTGGGATTGTGCTAGATGTAACCTCCTAATTACATGCTATCGAGTGCTGTCAAGTTGGTCCCAACTCATACTGACCCTATGTAGGGATTCCAGGAGCAGCGGTGGGTTTGAACCTCCAACCTTGTGGTTAGCAGTTCAGTGCTGATCCTGTAGTTCCTCACCAGGGTGCCTCTTTAGTGCATAGCCCTCTGTTTATAGATTGAGTTACTGTGAGCATTCATTCTGAGTGATTTCTAACTCCTTCTCTTCAGTGTCGGGTCAGTCTGTAAAGGGTCAGATGATAGTAAGCATTTTGGACTTTATGTTATAAAGCCTTTGTTGCAACTCCTCAGTTGTAGAATTGTATAGAAACCAGCCCTAGAGGACAAGATGCAGACATATGGCTAGACGGACCCGTCTAGCTTAGCCCATGAAGAATCAGTTGTCTGAGCCCGCCTCCCGATTGTCATTTCCTTCAGAAGCCACTGATTTGACTTGCTGCTTCTTTCCCTACCTCTCTCTAAAGTACTTGAGCATTTCTGCTAGACAATGACTCTTAGACTTCTGGTCTTGGCTCAGTAAGGTGGGGAAACAATCCTGTGATCTAAGAGTTGCCCTGAGCCCCGCTCCTTGCAGTGGAGAAAGAATGCCACATAGCTCTAGACCAGAAATAGTTCAGTGTTTCGTTGTCTGTTCATTTGCCCGTTCAGCAAGTATTCAGTGAGCACCTATTTTGTGCTCGACACTAGTAAGGCTCTAGCAAACAACTGAAAACAAAATGGGCAGTGGTTCTGCTCTCTTAAGTGGAAGGAGATATTAAATGAGGAGGAGTCCTGGTGTGACGCTGTACGATAAGCACTGGACTGCAAGGTTGCTTTGAAACACAAGGTCAGCGGTTCAGACTCACCAGCCGCTCCTAGGAAACCCTATATAGGGTCGCTATGAGTCGGAATAGACTGGACAGCACTTAATTAAATCATCAGGTAAGAAAATTATCAGTGATATGGGCTTTGTTGAGATTTATACGGTGACACAGAATACCTGGGAACTACTTGATATTGGAGTTGATTCTGGAAGGCTTCCCTGAGGAGGTGACGTGGTAGTTGAGATTTACATAATTAAAGCCACTTGTGAGAAGATCAGTCAGTGGGGGTGGGTGTACTCTGGGCCGAACCCTAGCTAGGAATCGTGGAGTTGAAGCACTCATTCAGTGATGCGCGGGGCATAAGTATAGGAGCAGGTTTGGGGACAGAGGAAAACAGCGATAATAATTTTTAAAAACCAGACCTGTGTGGACCACAATGGTTGTTGATGTTGGTTATATGCTGTCGAGTTGATTCTAACTCATAGCGACCCTACCAGGGCTGTATGTAAATCTTTACTGGAGGAGAAAGTCTCATCTTTCTCCTGCTTAGGGCCGTGAGAGTTTGAGATAATTAGGGTGTGGCACTATAGGATAAGCACTGGACTACTAAACCCACCAGCCACTCCTCGGAAACTCCATACCAGGTCGCTGTGAGGCAGAACCGACTTGTTAGCACTTAGCTACAGCAACATGGAGATAGTGAGTTAGCAGTCAAATGACAACTATAGCGCTTACAGGGAAAAAACGTAGTGATTTCAGAGTCCACAGCCCAGAGACTGATCTTTAAAGGTATTACACTTGATTAGGTCATCTTGAGAAATTATATACCTAGAGAAAGGTCCAGCACAGAGACAGGAGTATTTAAGAGATTAGCTAAAGAAGAAGCTGCTGAATAAGTGGTCAGGAAGTTAGGAAGATAAGCATACTTTTCAAAAAGGAGAGCTGCTGAGTGGTCAGGCGAGGGAAGCTGGGGGACGTGATGGCTGAGTTTGGTAGCATGGCCATGAATTGCTATGAGTTGGAACTGACTCAGTGACACTTAGAACAGCAACAATGCAATGCACAAAAACGCTAAGTGTATAATGGTAAAAAAACTAAAGTAAAATGAAGACTAGTGATTCTTTGCTAAAAAATAAGACTAGCAATCAAGCAACCCACCAATCTCAGGGCAGGACTGGATGAGACAGACAGACAGACTGCCAATAATTTACAGACTACCAGTTATCTTGTGCTTTCTCTTGTATAGAAGCTTTGTAAAGTTAGCAGAATTGCTGGCTAGACACTTAGGAAAATACTCAATTACATCCTTTGGTAAACTCTAGCTGTTGTTGTTAAGTGTCATGGATTAGGTTCTGACTCATAGGAACCCTGTATAGGGTCTCCAAGGAGCAGCTAGTGGATTTGAAGTCCTTAAGCACCACACCAGGACTCCCAACTCTAGTAGGATGTTGATTTATGAATAATACTTTTAATAACCCTTACCCTGGTAACCAATAAGTAACCCTTCCCAAAGCAAACTTATTGCCATCAAGTCGATTCCAAATCGTAGCCACGTTGTAGGGCGGAGTGGAAGTGCTTCACTGGGCGCCCAAGGGAATAAATCTTTATGGAAGTCGCCGGTCTCGTCTTTTCCTCATGGAGCAGCCGATGGCTCAGCTCTTTTAGTTAACAGCCCACTGGGTTACCAGGGCTCCGTAAGTAGCCCATGGAGTGATTGTTGTTGTGTGTTGTCAAATCTGTTCTGACTCACAGTGACCCTGAATGCAGTGTCTGAGAATGACTGGTAGGTTTGGATTGTTGATCTGTGGTTACCAATCTAGTGCTTATCATTCAGCACCACACCAGGGCTTTGTTGTTGTGAAGTGCCGTTGAGTCAGTTCTGACCCATAGCAACCCTGTATAGGGTTTCCTAGGAGCGGCTGGTAAGGTTAAACTGCCAACGTTGCATTTCAAACCAATGTTGCAGTCCAGCACATTAACCTACAGAACCATGCCAGGGCTTAGACCTATAGAAAATGTAGAGCTATAGGAATGAGTTGAAGCCATTCATTCCATTTTGCTGCTGCTTAACAATTCATTCATAGGAAGGCCAACATGAATGTTTTCAGCAAGGTTTTAAAGTCATCTGTAGATTTCTATGACCCCTTTGACCTTGTCACACAATTTGTACTAGCCAAACCATTGCTTATTACATGTGAGAACAGGAGTGAGTGCAGACTATCCCTGGGTTATGAACCTCTGACTTAAGCATAACCATAGTCTGCAAAACCTAGTATGTGAAAAACTCAAGGACGTACAATTGTTTGTAATAATCAAAGGGAAGTACTTTATTAAGTTTGGTGTGGTCCTGTAGTATAAACACTGGACTGCTAACCACAAGATCGGCAGTTCAAATCTATGAGCTACTCATCGGAAACCTTATACAGGGTCACTATGAGTCAGAACTGACTCGATGGTACTTACAACATGTTTGAACAACATAAGGACCAGAGGTTAGAAAGAAGAAGAGGAAGGTAGTGGTGGCCTGGTGTACAAAGCTATGTTAATCATTAGTCAATTTTCTATTGTTATCATATTTAAATTGCTGTAACATTTTGATTGTCAATAAAACGTATCATTCCACTGTCATTTTCCTTAGAAACAACTACAAAGATTACTCCATGGAGTCTCGGCTACACTTCAGAATTCAGGCAGCTCTCCACCTCTGGAAGAAATCTCCCGCAGACTGATCAGAACTTGAAAGATAGCATTCTCCCTCAATTAGCGCTGGCATCTGCTATAGATTAGACCTTGTATTAAAGTATAAAAGTGATCTTGTAAATGAGAGACAAAAAACTTAACTTTATTATCAATATTTTCTATCATCTGTGTGGTTTACTGTCGGGCTACATAAATGTTTGTTTTTTCCTATGGAATGATGTTCAATATTCTCTAGATAGCTCTTATATTTTGCCTCTCCAAAAAAAAAAAAAAATTAAAAAAAATCATGTATTAGATTTGATTGGAGAGGAAGAAGTCTTTTAAAAGACTCAGAAGTACAATAAGATCTAATTAGATTATTTATTTTTTTAATATGAAAATTCATATTGTTTAAGTAGCAAATGGCTTACAAGTTGAGCCATGTTTAGATTTGTCAGTTGGTTAAACTTCAGATATATTTTGTTGCCTAGTTTTTTAATTTAAGAAGGGAAGTAAAAATCACGTCAATTAAAAAAGAGCTCAGCAGTGATCTGCTGAAGACTTCTGGAAGGCAGGCATAGGACAGACGGGTGGGGGGGTATCATGTTGCAATTCTGTAAATAGGCTGAAGAGAACTATATATAGAAAAGGTGATGAAATCATATAGTGTTTTTTTCTGAGTCATGCTGGTTAAAAGATGGTGACATCTTTAAGAGACTGTCCTCTTTTGAATATACTTAAATCCATTATAAAAATAATAATAATAATTTAAAGCTGTGTATCTGAAGGGAGGAAGAGTCTTATTTTGAGTAATTCTCCTTCACTATAGCAGTGAGAGTCCTACAGTAGATACGCTGAATCTTACCAGGAAGCTGCTTGACCTGATATGTAAGGAATCAGTGTGTGGTACACCCAGGAAGTTGGGAAACTCTCCTTTTGTAATCGCACTAGGACCGTGAGGTTTCTTGTAAATATTTGGACTCTGTCTCATCCTCTGACTGGGAAATGCAATCAGGATGGGTGGGGTCTTGGCTCCGCTGCCGGTTAGCGAGCAGCCTGCCTGTTCTCATCGGTGAAATGGGAAGAGGCCAGATGACTCTGGAGGTCTCTTTCAGCTTCATGGCTGTGAGTCTGTGTACTAGGTATCTGTTTTTTACAACCAATATAATATGTTTCATCACCAAGCATTCCCACTTTTTTTGGTTTTTGTTAGGTGCTGTAGAGGTTCCAACCCATAGCAACCTTGTTTAGGGTTTCCTAGGAGCGACTGGTGGGTTTGAACCGCTGGCCTTGCAGTTCAAACTGACCTTGTGGTTCAATGCATTATCCTGTAGTGCCTCACTCAGAACAATCATTATTATCACCACCACCACCACCCCGGCCCCAAATGTGCTGTCATGAAGGACCAGATTGGATCCAGAGTAAGAAAAAACCATGAATTAGTGAATCAGGGAGTGAGGATCTTGCCCTGTTTCTGGAGTGAAGAATAACTCTTTATGGAAGTCGTTGCAGTTTAGCAAAAAGAGCCCTAGACTGGGAGTCAGAAGCCTGTCTCTGTCATTTAGCAGTTCTGTTCAGATGGACCAAGTCAATCAGTTCTGGGCCTCAGTTTCCTCATCTGTACAATGGAAACATCATGCTTGGTGCTCAAAAGGGTCCTGTTAGCTAATGTATAGGATAGCTCTTTGTAAGCTGTGACAGGCTTTATGACTTTATAAGTGGAAATGGTTTCATAATTGTGGGTTTTATGTATTGATTAGAGTATCAGCACGAAAGTATTGGCTGAGCCTGCTATTTTCTGCTGTAAATGAAGGATGTGTGGATATTCAAATACCTTACATTTATTCATGTGCTTGACCCTGATGGTAGCCCAGGACTCTTGCATTTGCTCCTTGCTGTTTTCACCAGTATCCAGTGGGTGTATGGTCTTTTCACTTTAGAGTGCTGATTGCGGACCGGTACTGTGGATGCCGTTCCAACAGAAGATGGTCATGAATAGAGCATGAGCCAGAGAGGCCCCCCAGAGAGTGTGCCTGTAGCTAACAGTATGTGCTGTTAATATAGCACACACTGTCATGTAGACCAAAGAGGAAATCACTTCACCATCATTACCATTACTGTGGGTCATGGAAAAGATGCTCAATGATGATTTTGTATGATACTCTGAGACAAAGTTGACAAATTCCTTAGAAAGCGTTTTGGTAGCATTATTGTTTTAAAGCATATGTACCATGTTGTGTTTATGAGAAGCTGCAGATTAGAGCTGAAAGTCAGTAAAATAGAATTAAAAAAAAAACACACAAAACTTTAACAGTACTTTTGATTTTCTTCAACTCTGTGTTACCAGACAAATATAGAAGAAATATACATATGCTATTTAAATTTTTTTTTTTCCCCCTGTTACCTTGTTTCTGTCATTACACCCTGGATTAGTTTCCTAGGGCTGCCATACAAATTTTCACAAACTGGTTGACTTAGAACAACAGAAATTGATCTCTTAGTTTTAGATGTGAAAAGGGTGACGTCAACGTGTCCATAGGCCCCTTCCTCAGAAGGCTCTAGGGGAGAATCCCTCCCTGCCTGTGCAGTCTTGGTGTACCCCTTGGTTTACAACTGTTGCCCTCACCACCACAAGGCCTTCCATCCTCTCTGTCTTTCGGTGTGACTGTGTCTTAATCTCCTGGTCCCTTCTCTTAGAGACACCAGTCCCTGGTTGAGGGCCTATCCTAATCCAGTATAACCTCAGTTTAACCTGATTACATCTGCAAAGACCCTTTTTCATCCCAGGAACAAGAGTTTAAGACTTGAACGTAGCTTTTTGGGGAACATAATTCAACCCATTACACTTCCTATTCTTTTTAAGATAGTTACCTTACAGTTTAAATAATCTATCTTTGATTCTTAAAGTGCTGCAATATCACTAATGCTATAGACACTTAACTGTGCACGTGACTCTGGTCAGGGCTTCAAATCAGTGTGGTGCTTGTTAGGAAGATATTTCCTTCTTTCAAATAAATAAAAAACTGTGTTAATGTTTCTTCTCTCCAAGCTGCTTTTGCTGTTTGTTACCATCCAGGCCGAGTCAGTTTCAACTCATAGTGACCCTGTTTAGGGTTTCCAAGAAGCAACTGGTGAGTTTGAACCGCCAACCTTGTGATTCAAATCGACCTTGCAGTCCAGTGCTTTATCCCACAGGGCCACACCTGTACTTTTGGAGGTAGTAATATTGTCCTATGCACATATATAAATACTCAGTACGGTGTCTAGTCTTATTCTTTCAAAGTGAGTCTGTGGATCTTGTGAAGAATATTTAGAGGTTTTTCTTCTCTTGGACCAACTGGAAAAATGTTTGGAATTACTCTGATTTCATGGATTTCCCACCCCACTATATTTCTGGCTTTCATATTTATAAACAATCAATGTAAGTAAATTTCCTTAAAATGGAGTTGAGTAGTTTTGATGCCCTAAGATTTTGTGATTTACTGGGTCTGGGAGAGGGATCTTAGAGATTTCTCTTGTTCCTCCTGAACCCAGCCTGTAAACAGTGTTGTTTGTTACTGTGTTAGTCCTGTGCGCTGTGCAGCGTGGGAGCTACTGGTGTGGTTACTGCGCATTTGAAATGAATGAAGCTGCATGTTGTCAGGGACACGCCATTCTATTGCAACGCCCCCCAAAATGCTTCCCGGAGCTCTGCCTTTTACTTGCTGTCTGCTGTGATCACCCAGTCACCTTAGTTGCATTGTCAGTTGTTTGTCAAATATGTAGCTTTGCTTTATCTATATAAGTGCCTTTACATTTTCATTTCATCTTATTTATCCAGGCTTCTGAGACCATTAAGGTCATCAATACCTTCAAACACTGTTCTTTCCCTCTCAGGAACCTTTATACTAGACGGTTGTTGTCTGAACTGCCTACTTTACAGTTAGGAGTCCAGTACTATCCTACAGCACCACACCAGAACTCCTATACTACACTATGGGAATTTTATGGGCAGACTTTACTTTTTCTGATATTTAATAATGGAAAATTTAAGCCAACATTAACAAACAGAATTGTAGAGAAAGCTATGCTCACCTTTGAGATGTTAGTTGATTTTCTCCATTAACATTCTGAAAAATTTATCATTTAACTATTGACTCAGCTAGACCAAAGTTATTACTTAAAGGTTTTTAGATACAGATTTATCCTCTTAGGGAGTCCTGGTGTGGCGCTGAAAGTTAATGCACTGGACCGTAAAGTCCATCTGAACTGCAAGGTCGGCGGTTCAAGCTCACCAGCTGCTCCTAGGAAACCCTATAGAGAGGGTCACTATGGATAGGAGCCAACTCTATGGCACTTAACAACAACAACCCACTTAAAGAGAATAATTTGAAAGATAAATTAGTTATATGTTTTATGCCTTTTGTGGTCCCTAAGTGTGACACTGTAGGATAAGCTCTGGATTGCTAGCAGCAAGGTCTGTGGTTCAAACCCATCAACCACTCCTTGAAAACCGTATGCAGGGTTGTCATGAGTCAGTGGCACTTAACAATAATTAATATTTTTGAATGTGTGTGATACCTAAGTGAAATGCATAAATATAATTACGACTTTTTAATTTCTTAAGACATTACCATGGACATTCCATGGTTAGATGGACACAAAACCGCTTACAGTTACTGAATAGACAATGCGCCCTACTGTTCTCTCAGGAAGAGCACAGCCCCACTGCAGACTTCCTCCCACCCAGCCTAGTTAGTTACATATTTTTCAATTTCTTTAACTATTAGGTTGCTTGTTGTGGAACCCTCTTCTTGTTTCCCATGTTAGATATTTGCTGTTAGATTTGGTTACTTTAGAATGTGGACTGTGAGGTTTAATGGAAAGAACAGGTCAGAATTTATCATGAGGAAAATATCTTTTATGTTGTATATAGACAGCAGTTGCTATCTGATTTTGACGGTTAGACTTTTAAGAGGAGACTGTTAAAATCCACTCCAGTCTGTTTCTGATTTCGTAATGGCGCAGGACCAGGCAGTACTGTGTTCTGTTGTACATAGGGTCACGCTAT